AGAAATTAAAATAAGAATTATTTCACTCCAAAAGCAAAGTGAAAAAAAAAACATTCTTTTTGCGAAATCCAAATTCAAAAACAAAATGGCTGAACCATTTGTGTTCAAAGCACAGTGTATTCCAATTAGTGATCAACGATTTCATTAAAAAAATAATAATCATTTGATTAGCAGCATAATTGCATTGCGTGTTAAACTTCATCTCAAATTAAATGTTATGCACTAAACAGTAAGAAAAGTAAGTTAATATCGCCTTTGAACTCTAATCAACAGGAATCTGACATTTTTATAACATTTGTGCGTCTCCATTAAAAAAAAAAGGATAAAAAAAAAACGGCGCCTCACAAACCTCGACCCTTTAATCATACATTAATGTGTTCTATTACTAGAAACCTTGCTAGAGAGGGTAATGTGGTGAAAATAAAGAGTAAAATAGTATTAATTAAACGAAACATCGATATTTAAGTGTGTGCATGTATGTGCAAGGTGCAGCTTTATGTGTCACTACACACGAGCAGTAACTGGTTGTGCAAGCCATGTCGTCAAGTACCTACAACAGGAGCCGGCAACCTGCGGCTCGCGAGCCGCATGCGGTTCTTTTGATGTCAAGTTGCGGCTCTCCAGTTCCATTTACAAATCTTAATAATTAAACTATTTTATTTTCAAAACTCATTTAAAAATATTATTAAGAAAAACAACTTTAAGCAAGATACAAACACTCACCAGAGAACAGTGAGAATAGGTGAGGTAGAAAGTATACGGAAAGCTACAGCCGCTTGGGAACTAGGTCCAGCAGCACAATGCCATTATCCAGGCAGGCCTCAACACGACATACTCCGACTAACTGGCTTGCGAATCGGTTTCATTACCGTGTATTGGTCGCTTCTGTCATTTGGTTCTCACCAGGCTTATCTTCCACCCAACAGAGCCTATGGTAAACTTGCACCCCACCGTCCTGTACCCGGCTCAACAATAGGAAGCTAATAGCTAAAAAACTACGTCACTCATTTCAAATTAATGATTACTGACCGATAGGGAAATGCATTCTGAATAAAATAACATTCCCCATTCAAAGTTTTCGAAAACGTCGGCACTTAACAGTGGGGCTGTCAATAGCACAGCTGTAGGGCTGGGCCTGGCGCCCTAGCGGCTGTCCGTATACTTCCTACTGCACCTATTCTCACTGTTCTCTGATGAGTGTGTTTATCCTGTTTAAAGTTGTGTTTCTTTACAGTGTAGGCCTACTATTTATTTATGAATTTTTAATATGAAAATATATGATTATTAAAATTTGTGAGAGGAGTTGGAGAGCCGAATTTTGACATCAAAAGAGCCGCATGCGGCTCGCAAGCCACATGTTGCCGACCCCTGCCTTAGGTTAAATAATAGTTGCGTTATCAACGCGAAAAAAACATTTTTTTTTTTTTTTTTGTTTTTTTTTTTTAACGCAAAAAAACATATTTCTGAATACCTACTGACCGAAATGTGAACAGGGCATTGTTTGTATAGAATAGTTATAATAATAATGATTAATTGTTTAATATATTTATTGCGTGAATAAAATAACCTAACGCTTCGAAAAAAGTTTGAATAAGCATGCATGAGTTTAATTTAAGTTTATTTTCGATAAAAACATATAGTAAATTATAACATGTAGTTTAGTACATTTTGTTAAAATGTATTTCAATTTTATTTACATTTTAAGACAATCGTAAATAACTTTAAGGTAGCATCCCTTGTGTTATCTCTGACTATAAAATGGGAAGTAACCAACACTGTGTTTTTTTCTTTTTTCACACAGGTAGTTTCAAAAAGACTGGTACGTGACATTCAGTGTTTCTTCCAGATTTTTTTCTCCGGGGGGTCACTTGAAATTTTTTTTTGGGGGGGGGGGGGCGGTACACTTTCTTCGGGGGGGGGGGGGGGGGCGGACTGTTAAAAGTATATATTTTCTATATAAATTATATAAATTTCATTTCGTTCGGGGGGGGGGGGGGGGGGGCGGTAAAAAAATTTCCCCGAAGAGATGCCTGGAAGAAACTCTGGTGACATTCACATACTATGTGCTAAACTGGGAAATAAAAGCAGCATAACCACATCACTATAGAATGAAACACCTAAGGGCAAACTGTTTACAAACATTTTGTTACTACGGTGCTTTTGTTTTAAGATATGAAAGCCTAATTTCCTAGATAATATATTAAAATAAAGCTATGGAAAAAAAGTTAATATATGTATGTTTAACAATCAATCATACATTTTAATTGCTTACTATATGAATTGAAGATCTAACATAAGATACTTATAAAAAAATTCATAGCGTAAAAGAAAAAAAATATTTCTTTAACTGTGGAACTTAATTAATGTTTTTTTTTTTTTTTTTTTTTTTAAATGAGATGACCTGCGAAATGCTGACACAATGGATAGGTCCAATAGAAAAGTTGAAGGAAACTTTTAACAAAACAACAGCTCAAAGCGAAACCAACAATGACAGGCTTAAAAGCTTAACTATACAATATTCAAACATGGCTGCAAAAATCAAAACATGTTGTGAAAAGAATCACAGTTGCATTACATGATTCACTGCTTATACAAGTCTTTTTCACAGTGAGAATGGGAGCTCACAAATTATCCAATGTCCAGTCGTTGGCCATAACTCAGGTCATTACGACCAAAATACAAGCATCTTCACTGCACCAGTTGATGGCCTCTACCTTGTCAGTTTTGTTTTATACCAGGCTGACAGTGGCGCTTTAAACGTTCACGTGATGCGGCGATTCAGCAATAATGAAAAATCTGTTGGTATATTTAAGGACTATGCTAGTGTTTCAAATATACGTGTTTTAAATATGAAGACTGGGGAGAAATTATTTTTGAAATTATACACAGGAACATATCCCGCTATCATATTAGACTGTTCTAATTTTTCATGTTTTTTAATCAGTTAATAAATCATTTGTTAAACCATTTTAAATATGTAATTATTTCACTATTTTGCCTGTATCAAACAATGCAACAGCATGGTCAAGTGTTCAACTGATTTTACTTTTATTCAGTTCTTATGTTAGAACAAGCAGGACATACTTGGTTCCACCTAGCTCTGATAAGTATATGAGTAGTGAGTAAAATGGTTGTGCAGTATTGTCCACAAATATGCATGATATTTAAATTTAGAATTTGAATTAACCAACAAAACCACCAAATTAGTAATATGTCTTATCTCTTCTACTTTTGCAATTAACTGATTTGCCATTAATTAAAGAGATATTTTGACTGCGTGCAATATTTGATGTACATAATGCAAACCAGGGTTTCTTTCAGACATTCAACGGGCTCTTGAAACTACCGAGAGACACTCCAAACCATCCGTCGGTCAGACACTGGCTAATGCATATACACGCTTTTTTGTGTTCGTGAGGAAGTGGGGGCAGAGTTGGCTGAAAGAAACACTGGTACAAACGTACAGGTCATATCCTGGTATTTACGTAGTGACGGAGATTCATTAAGGGATAAGTTAGGAAAACTCGATAAAGCTGAATGTAGCTCAAACTGATTCAATAGAAACTTAGTTTAGACTATGTCGTGTCTAACGAGTGGCTTATTCCTGGGTCACCTGCCATCCTGGTCATTTCCTGTCTGGACTCTACAGAACATTAATCTGTTATTTCCCTTGCAACAACTGTAGCTAGTAATATGCTGGGTAGTGCGAAGTGGGGTGGTGATAGTGCGGGTGTGGGTGGGGGAGAGAGCTAAAGACTTGGACCGTGTGATGTGTAGTAAACATGTATTACATATATGTACGTCAATTGCGTTTACACAGCTAATTAGATATGTTATTTGTTTATATTTAGACCATTTTTATGATAACTAAAAGAACACAATAACATGCAGTTAACATTTAAATACTGTGTAAATGTGATAATACATACATATATATATATATATATATATATATATATATATATATATATATATATATATATATATATTGGATTTTTTTTTATTAAAAAGAAAAATGTTATAAAGAAAGAGTTTTGCGTGGTCGTTGTGTACTTATGAGGTTGTGGTGGACAATGACGTGAGTATATTTTTCCTATATAAAAGATAAGAGATGCATGAAAGAAGCTCTGAGATGTACTGACATACAAGCGTACTACTGCATATCCGACATTAAGTTTAACAAAAAGACATACAAACCCCCCCCCCCTCAAACTTTCGATTTGTTTTTCCAACCCATTTTACCGCCCCCCTACGGCCAGCGCCTGTTTCATTGGTTAAAAAGCTTAGAGCTACACTAGATTTTGTGTTGCGATGTAACGTTTATGCAACATTCTGAAATTTAGTGTGTAAATAGGGCTAATATGCAACAGTTATTTTAATCCGTATTAAGAATGTCCATACTTTTGGTAAAGTTAATTTTTCGCTTCAGTACATACTTTTTTTTTTTTAAATGAGGAAATATTTATTAAAATCTAAGATTGTGCATGCAGAATACAGATTAAAACGTCAATAAAAATTGTCCTTAGCATATTTTTATAGAACAAATCACACTTATAGCAAAATGGTGAAGCTTTTTTTGCCAAGTTTAACTGGAATTAAATCTCTCTGAAAGATGGAAAACATCAACGATAAGTTGTAAATATTATAAACATTTTTTCAGACAACCAAGCATGCTCACAAGTTAGCTACAATATTTGGTTTAATGCAGTTTAAATAAAGCTAAAAGTTTATGTACACAGTATAAGTAGAGATTAAAAGAAAATAAAACATTAAAGCGACTTAGAGGCTTGACTTAGAGAATACATCACAAGTATCTTGATAGCTTTGAGATTAGAATGTTGTCATCTTTTAAAAAAAATATATAATTGATTATGAGATGTTCACAGACTCATACTCAGAAAGATTAAAGAATACACAATTTTTAAACAAAATCTGTTTCAAAAAGAAACAATTAACTAAATATAGTTTGTAAACTGGAGCAATAAAAAAAACTTAAAAAAATCATTTTTAAGGATTAAGTACATTCATCTCTTTAAAATCATGAGTTTTCCATTCCTACTTATCAAAGGGAAAATTCAACCTTTAGGTTCAACTGGAAGCTTGACAAACATGTGATGAATCCTCTGTTGCTACTATTAGCTTTGTTCATCGTGTTGTATGACTATGAGAAGAAACTCCTTATCAGGCGCGCACATGATCTCATTCCTACGGGAACGAATGCGCAAGAACTTGAGGTCATTAGAAGGGTCAATATCTCTTACAATGCTGCGTGCCTTTGCAGTCAAACTATGAATAAGACTGGCATATTGCACAGTGGTGGAATTGTCCAGAGTTGTTTTAATGGGAATACCTTCACTGTTGACAACTATGGTCCCAGTAACACCCCTGTGTGACTGTATTCTTTTAAGTGTCTCTTCAACTTCTGCAGCCATTCTGTTCTGTCTCTTCAGAAAAAAAGTACACACATACAATAAGAATAATAACCCTGTATTGGCTCATAGCAGAATAAAAACAAAATTTCAAATTTTAAACATCTAAGAAATAATTTGTAACATATCTAAGAGGTTTGTTTTTTATTAATTTTTGAAAAAAAAAAAAGATTTTAGAAACAAAAAAATACTTTTACAAATTTTACTGACCAAAAACTTTTTTTTGTTGGCATGTGTATACAATTATACCATCATATATTTTGTAAAGGGTATTTTATTTTAATACATATTTTCGTTGATATGTTAAAGTTGTATCCCTTGATTCTATTAATGTGTATAAGGGAAGTAATAAAATACATGTCAATTATGTGAGGCACATCTACTTTTAACAACACAAGTTATAATGCAAGTTAATATATCTTTCGTAGATTAAAAGCTTAGAGCAACATTAGTACATTTTGTGGCGATGTAATGTTTATGCAGCATGATCTAATTGCGTGTGTAAATAGGGCTGAGAGGTTACGGTATATCTGTATAGAATTAGACAATTATAGCAAAATGTCCGTGGATTGAGAGGTACATATTATGTATGTATGTGTGACGGTTAGTTTTTTTCAAGTAATCATTTATAATTATAGCACTGTCCCTGAATGTGTAGCAACGTTAAGTTTATTGTGTAGAATATATTACTTAAAAATTAACTAATTAAAAATATGTCAAATTCAATAAGGCGGCAAATGATCCGTAACGTAAATGTTTTGTTAAAAGTAAAAGTTTGGTATCTAGTGTCGTGTTGTCTCAAGCAGTGGCGTCGCTAGGTTGGGTGTCACCCGGTGCGGCACCTCATGGTGTCACCCCCAACCCTCAAAAAAATGTATATAACCCCAAGGTCTATATAGGCCTATATATATATATATATATATATATATATATATATATATATATATATATATATATATATATATATATATATATATATATATATATATATATATATATATATATTGGACTCATCACCCTACTATCTAATGGCGGCATTTTTGTACGCACAATATTTTAGCAGTTCTCATCTGGTGTCAAGGTATGTTCTGTTTTATCTTAACGTTTTAAAACTCTCGATCACATTTTGAATATACTTGTGTGCTGTAACGAGTAACATATTTATTTCGCCGACACGTATTTTCAGCTTAAGTAGGATCTTTTATTTGATGTGTTAATGAACTGCAAATGTTAGGTTAATAATAATTTGCATAGGTTGTTTTTTTTTTAAATGTGCGTTAAGTATATTTAATACAATGAAAATAAGAAAATAAAACTAATTTGCTTTTTTCATTAATGCTTTGGTTGCTAAAACTATGCTTATCGTTCGATATATGAGGACTGTTGTAGATTTGCATTGATAGCTATTTATTTGTCTCTCATGATTTTAGTTTGGTGAAGTATGAGTTCACTATCTGAAAAAATATAGTATAAGTCGGAGAGGAGAGAGTTGGGTATGAATACCTGGAGGAGAGGGGAGAGTGGTATAAATACCTAAAGGGGAGATGAGAGGTGGGGGGCGGAGAAATTAACGGGCCATATACATGTATACAATGATGTTAGTTTAATTACATTTGTAAGATATACTTTTCCAGATGTCGGAATGGTGTAACATATTTAAGGGTGACTTTTGATCACACATCCACACACTGCCATGGTTACAAAAACTTCAATACCTAAGGTTAACAGGTTGTAGCAATATTTATTACACGTCTTTAAATAGACGCCTTTGTAATCCAATAGTGATATGGTATCGCAAAAATATTTTAAACGTAAACAATGGCTCTGCTTGATCTGAATAATTACTAATTTAGAGATTATTTAAGATATATTCCCATTGTTTTTATTTTAATTAAAGCATACACATATTTAATAAAAAAAAACTATATAAAGCATACATAAATACGTACAACATTACTTTTGGAAGCAAATATATATGTAAAATCGAACTTTTTTAAAGCATTTTTAAATAAGAATTCATGTTTTCAGTACATGTTAATACGTCTTTTTCAATCTCAATGTAACGACCCTTGGAATTACTTTAGTGTATACATGGGAAGTAACTAGCACAATGCTAAAATGTTTTTCACACCTCAAATTTAAAACACAACCTTAAAGTCAAAACATTTTATGTAGTATTACAAGCACAGGGCAACATTGTTAAATTGTGTATGGACAAAGAAATACAGAATGTAGGGCAAAATGACTTTGGAAAGTTGTGAGTTTATTGCAATACAATGACATTAAAAGCTAAATGAGTGTTCTTGGCAGTTTTAGGGGAAACATTGATACAGAGGCGTAGCGACCCTTCCGGCGCCCGGGGACAAACTTTCGATTTGCACCCCCCACCTCGAACTTTCGATTTGCACACTCTCGAACTTTTGATTTGCACCCCCCCTCAATCTTTCGATTTCGATTTGCACCCCCCCCCCCTCAAACTTTCAATTTGTTTTTACAACCCATTTTGGCGCCCCCCATATGTACCCCCCTCTCTACGCCTCTGCATTGTTACACTGTGTGTTAAAATGTACCAGTCACATCGAAACTTGAGTTATCAAAATTATATGTGTTTCCCTATTGGGGGGGGGGGGTAAAAATAATTGCTCAAATACAACTTTGTTTAAAGATCCCAAAGGCCACTTTTCCACAGGAAGATAGAATGAATGTAAGCTACTTTTCCAAAAGAAGATAGAATGAATGTAGGCTACTTTTCAAACGGACACTTGTCAGACCTACAACGATAATTGCACACACATAAGGTAAGGATCAAAATCATGGTCTTTTAATTGCACACACATAAGGTAAGGATCAAAATCATGGTCTTTATTTCGTTGTACACTTTGAATGTATTATTCATACAACATAAACAAAAATGTGTAGTTTAAAGAGGATAAGAAATAAAAAAAAACGAATTTTCTTTTTAACTATCAATCGCCAACGTACTTTATCGACACACGATTCGCTTCAATTTAAAAGTAAATCAAATTAAAAGGTCTAGATGTATATGTAATCTCTATTTTCACAAGTCATACTTGGGGCTACCACTTTGATGCATGTGTCCAATAACCCATAATATAATGTATACAATACAGAGATTATGAGCTTGGCTCAAAATTAAAACATTGTTTACAACTAAACATTTGCTTTTCCATGTCAAGTCTAGTACATGAAAGCTAAATGTTAGACTTGGACTTGAACAAGTATATTGTCTTGTAAATAGTTAAAACATTGTTTGAATCCAAACGAAGTCGGACACAAGAAAGATAAATGTTAGACTTAGAGTTCAAGAGGTCAATAGTTCTGTAAGTCATGTTAGTAGTAAAGCTTAATATTGTGGCAAAACATAGCCAGCTCGTGTATTGTAGCAAAAGAGGTAGAACTGGTACAGCTTCTCTGATTGATCGACTTATATGTATTCTAGTTACTGATTGGTTAATGAAGATAAACTCTGAACCAAACACTTGGGTACAACACATATCACCCTGACTGAGTCTCAAGTAAAACTGTATAGATAGTCATAATTGTAATACAGTATAAAGACTACTTAATTAGGTGATTGCATGCGATTTTAAGGTCGAATGGTAAAGTTTATAAATTCTAACCTGAAAGTCTCGAGTTCGAATCGGGAATCAAGTCGGGTCGGTATATTGTCCCCGAGTCCACCCAGTTCTTATGAGTACCTGATTCAAGTTAGAGAAAGTTGCTCGTAGAAATAAATATAACTATAGAACAAAAAAAAATATGTTTAAAGGACATCCTATTCAAACATATTTATACATATTTAGTGTTAAATTAATACTAAATTACAACGGAACAAAATAATTTGAACAGTGATTCACCTACAATCATGGCGGCATATTATATGGTTATAAGAGGAGCATATAAAGTGTATCACATTTAACAGTATACAACAACTGTTATTGTTAAATCGTTCACATGTAAAATGGTAAACATGTGTGTGCTGAGTTTTATTTAATGAAATTTCGTCGTCTCTCGCCCTTCAACACTATTCAAACCTTACAAGATGAAATAAAATTTAAAGAAATAAAAATATAATTTAAGGAAAACTGTATCAGCTGAGGAAACGATACAGTTAGAGATGGCTGAAAGTTATTTTAATTTTGTATAACGTATCAGTAACGTACATACTCTTGTTTATATCTAAAAGTATTTTCATTTGTTATAGTAGAAGAACAATTTGTTAACACATTGACGAACAGTGGACTGTTATCGCAGATTAATCCGAAAAATTCAAACGTCTGCAAATGGAATATCCAAAACAGCGATAGTTTATAATTTATATTTAAAAAAAATTTTTTTTTTTGTGCCTCAGACATGTGATTTACAGCGTCAGTTGTGTGTGTTTGCTTTAGTATTACAGTTTTCATCATCGGCTTGTGAGGACTGATACAGATTTACAATAGTAATATTTCTTTCTTACTTGTAGCCTACTTTCATTCATTTAAGATTGTTTACTTATACATAGATCTAATACAAAACGTCTAAATATAAAAAAAAATTAAAAAATAAATAAAAAAACAACCTGAAAATGCAAATGTGTAATTAAATGATGATTCAAGGGATTTTTTTCCCTCGGCGTGGTGGGTGAGGGGGCTGGGGGGGGGGGGGGTAGAGTTTGGGTTTTTAAGCAGAGCTGAAATAAATTTGTGATTACAGAGAATTAAAATGATACAAATTTTAAGCAATCGGAAAAGTTATGTTATTACAACGAGACACATCAAAGCAAACATTTTCCCCTTTCAAACATCCATATCTATACAATTGCTTTTTTTTTTTAATCAATTGTTTTAAACATTAAAATCAGTAATAATAATTTGTTTGATAGTTTTACACAGCATCAAAGATATGAACATCAATTGCATATACAATAATCAAAGAGAGAAAATAAAATGGCATAAGACTAGACTAAAATAAGGTGTGCAAACTCGGTTTTTCTTCACTGCTTAGTTTAC